TGTTCAAATATAAAATTAAATTAATTGCTAATTACTACATTGAAATAAAAATGCAAAGCCTGTACAAATATTAGTAATCGTGAATATAAATAATTGGGAATCATGTAAAGAATTAATAAAATAAAATAAAAACAGTGCACATTTCATTAATCTATTATAACATGTAGTTTTGTTCGCTTGGCTGTTTCCTTATAGAAGTCCAGAAATTTGTCAAGTTTTTCGTCAGGTGTCTTTTTTAATTATAGCATGTTGTTGGTTTAGATGCAGTGATAAGTTTATTTAGCTCTTCTTGTCCTATAGTTGTAAAGCACTGCAGTTTATCTTTTGGTGCGATGAATGAAGCTAAAGTATTATACGCTGTAGAATCTACATTTGTTATTGTATTTCTGATGTTATCCGTTTTATCAGTGAAGAAATTCATAAAGTCATTACTATTAAACTGTGAGGGAATATTTAGATCGGGTGGTGTCTGGTTATTTGTTAATCTAGCCACTGTGCTAAATAAAAACCTTGGATTGTTTTGGTTATTTTCTATGAGTTTGTGGATATGCTCGGCCCTGGCAGCTTTTAGAGCCTGTCTATAGCTGGACATACTGTTTTTCCACTCAATTCTAAAAACTTCCAAGTTTGTTTTTCTCCATTTGTGCTCAAGACTACGAGATTCTTTCTTGAGAGAATGGGTATTACTGTTGTAACATGGCACAATACGTTTTTCTCGAACCTTTTTCAATTTGATGGAGGCAACAGCTTTTAATGTATTAGAGAAGATAGTGCCCATGTTGCTAGTCATTTCATCTAGTTCATGTGTATTTATGGGTACACAGAGCAGTTGAGATAAATCAGGCAGGTTATTTGTGAATCTGTCTTTGGTGGCTGGAACAATAGTTCTGCCCGGACGATAACGCGGAGCCATATAGTTAATATCAGTAATATGCAGCATGCACGATACAAGGAAATGGTCAGTAACATCATCACTTTGAGGTACGATATCTATATCAGTAAGATCAATTCCATGCGATATAATTAAATCTAGCGTATGATTAAAACGATGAGTGGGCCCGGTGACATTTTGCTTGACTCCAAAAGAGTTTATTAGGCCAGTAAACGCAAGTCCTAATGCATCATTAGTATTATCAACGTGAATATTAAAATCTCCGACAATTAGCGCTTTATCAACAGTAACCAATAGGTCTGAGAGGAAATCTGCAAATTCTTTTAGGAAATCTGTATACGGCCCTGGTGGTCTATACACAGTAGCCAGAGCAAGAGATACGATAGATTTCTTTTGCATATCTGACAGTGTAACATTAAGCATTATTGCATGGGTTTTTATTATATATTTTTTTATATACATCAACTCCCTGTAACCAGCGAGCTGTAACGGTATTATTCTGCAAATTAATCCATAATTAGAGCAGCTATGACATGTTACACGCAAACGCTGTTAATCTACACACTGAACAAGCGTTTACTTATGGGTTCTAGTTGGAAAATGCGCCCCATTGTGGATCATATTGACACCGTCGTCGTAAAAAATTTTTTAAAAGGAGGTTTAAAATACCCGCACCATGGAAGCCCGTTTCCGCCACTGAATAAAAAAAAATTAATTGCGACTTTTTATCTCACAATTCTGACTTTTTTTTCTCAGAATTGCGAGTTTATATCTCGCAATTCTTACGCAATTGCGAGAAAAACAGTCAGAATTGCGAGATAAAAAGTCGCAATAACCTTTTTTATTATTATTCAGTGGCGGAAAAGGGCTTTACAAGTAAAGGTGACTTTATAATTTTTTTTCAAACACATTAATCACATTTTCAAAATAGAGAGAACGACACAATCACATCTTCAAAATATAGAGAAGGTTTCTATGTAATTTAATATTATTTCTCTTCTGAAAAAATACAATAGACGCCATCACACAATTTGTAATGGTTTACTGGTTATAATGGGACTTTGGTTTTAATGGAAACTATGGGTTTCTTAATTTGTTGCCTTCTATTGGTGGCTTGTTAAAACCACTAAAAATGCAATATGTCCCAAAACACACTACAGAAAACAAATTTTTAATGGTTAAAAGTTGGTGGTTTGTAATGTTGTAATCATATTTGTAGTGGAAGCCATTACAATTTCTGTGATGGTTTCTATTGTTTTTTTTTTCTTCCAGCATGGTTGCGTGCATGAATTATATTTATTAGCACATAATACGTCAAAATAAGCATTATTTTATGAGTCTGATTTAAAAAAATAAATGAAAAATCGGAAGCTCAAACTGAAACTCGAATATCTAACACATTGTGTAAAAAATTTAGCTATAATTCTAATAAGAATAACTAAACATAAATGTTAATACATCTGTTTAAAACATTAAATAGTATAATAACCATATAAAATACATCAAACATGACTGAGTGAATAATTAGCATGAAGCAGTGATTGGTTAACCGTTTTAGTGCTTTGCGCGGGCTTGTAATGACAAGGTAAAGCGATAACTGTCTGACTTACTGAAAGTAGATTTTTTTTTTCTTTCCCCAAATGGGGTATTTATGTCCATAGTAAAGTTCTTTCAAATTGTAGCATTGTAACCATCACACCAGCCAGCACAGTCAAGACGTTCGAGAAAGGTAGGCTAATTCTAGCTTAGCTGTGGCACAAGCTACAGGCTAGAATTAGCGTAAATCACTTATGATTGTTAGAAATAGATATGTTTTATTAGTTATAGGAAGTATTTCACCTGTAAACTGATGTAGTAGCCAAATATCATTCACAGCAATGGTCATGACAGTGACACACGACGGACTTGATAGTAAAGAGGCCAAGATGGGGGAAACACTAAACCTTTAACAATGGTAGTTATTACAGAACGAGTGGTTTCACTGTATCTACTTTTGAGTAGTATGCTTGATGAATGACTACTGTACTCACTTGCAATCAGGACACAGATAGATGGTGCTGGAGGACAAAAAGAGAGCACAGTACGAAAAGATGACATGGAGGTGAGTAAAATATTATAATAATGTAGAGTAGGCCTACTCATCCAAACGTTCAGCCTTCACCAGTAATGCCAAACATATCAAACATCAAATCTCAAAACTTCCTGAAATATATCTTTTAAATAAATAAATAAAATATATATTGAAATATATATTTCGTGAAATAATGACGTTTTATTCTGTCTTCTAAAGTAATCAACTCTGCAGCTAATTACTTGACAATAAATTATAGTATAGCATATGTATGTGTACATGGTTCCACTCCTCCTTTGACCTTCATTTTTTATCCTTAATTAAATGTTTAAAATACTACAATAAATATGTTAAGGAAATAAATCTTAAATATGTGGTTGTATCTAATTCATCTATCATCATTGCACTTATGATTTTAATAGAGAAAAAAGGAAACTACAGTACAACCATTTCCTATAATCAACATTTAACACATCAATACAACATGGTACAGTTGTCCCCGGTAATTGTTTACATCTTCATAAATAATAATAAAATTAAGGAATATTAAGGAAAGGAAAAAAATAAGTTTACCTCAGAAAACAGTTACCTCAGAAAGTACATTTAACTGGTGGCTACATAATATATTCCTAAATATAATATCATGTAACTATATAGTATAATGGTTGAACAGATTGGTTTGTCTTAAGAAACCAACAACATATCATTTTTTTATGATGCATCATCTGTAGATGGCGCTACTGCAACAGGTCTAGTCAATACCCCCAAAATTTAACGTTTCTAAAAGTGAAGACAATATACATTAACAAAAATGAACAAAAGCTAAGAAATTAGAAAATGAACAACAGAAAGTGCGGTAGAAAATATAACAGCAATATTAATTATTTTAATACTAATAGTAATTCTTGTCAATGGGCACACACTCTGACCCCTCCATCAGACACTGTATATCTAACTCTGTATAAAAATACACCCTCCACAGCATTTCAAGAAAAGCAGATTGATGGCATTGCCAACAAACAGCTCATTTACTAAAGCTTTCTGTCTTTAGTAGAGTAGAGAACATACTCTCCCTCACCCTCCTTTTCCCCCTCATGTGTCTTTTAGACACCTCCTTTATTGTAGTTGCCATGACATCATCAGTAACCCAGGAAACCCATTGAAACAAGAAGGACCCAGGAAATGAGGTAATGGTTCAGGAATGTCGGGAGAGAAGAGTTTCCCCCACAGCTGAAAGAGAATGGCAAACAGAGCAGCTCTGTCTGAAGCCATGCATGAGGTCAACAATCCTTAGATGACAACAAAACATTACCCTTAACCCAACAGAATTGATGATCTATACCTATGCAATCTATATCTATGTAAAAGTCTCTATTAACCTGATAATATATAGTTGCCATTAAAACAGAGACAAACAGAAAGTTAAGTCTGCTGGGTTTCCATCACCCTGCTTTTATGCGCATTTTGAAGTATCGCATCAGAATCGAGTGATGGAAACGCTGAATTTCGAATAAAAATGCCTTAATTCGCAATAAAAGTTTTTACACTCGCTTGAGGTGGTTTTTGACTTGTGCGAAAAAGGGTTAATGCGAATAATGGGGAATGGAAATGCATTTTGCAAATAAATTCCTCCAAGCGCATCAAAAAAGTCATGTGACTTTGCGCTATGGGACGGCAAATTCTGTCTAACCAGCGGACCGATCTCATTCACAGCATCTGAAATGTTGTTATGGTCATTCGGAAATGCCAGAGTAAAGTCTGTCATCAAAGTATTTCTGTATAATTGCCTCCCAGAACTGTTAAACGACTGCGTTCCCAAACAGCAGCATCCACCTCCGAAAGCAATTACCGCATTCATTGTGTTTCGTCTGCTCGCTCTGAGGTGCAATAAATTTATTATATAGGAAAATTTTTATATTCAGTAGCTTCTCCTACTTTTCTTAGTGATGTATAGTGCCAGTTTATCAGGAAGTGATGATATTGTTCTCTTTGACTCGTTGGATGGAAACGATGCTTGTTTGCAAATGTTTTGTGCGATATTCCAATTTTGCGCATTAGTTAAATTCGCAACTTTGGATGGAAACCCGGCTAATATGACCATTTGGCAAATGCAGTCATATAGGTTATCCAGGACCAAAAAAGTTAGATTAAAAAGTTGTTTGGCAATAAGAACTTCAGTAGGCTGTGAGGGTAACCTGTCGGGCCTTCAATCAATAGTTAAAATCAACATAATTGATTAGATTGAGAAAAGTGTCCATTTCATACCAAACTGGAGCCAGACCTGAATGTGAGTATAGAGTCAATCATGAGGAACTACTCCCTTGTTGAAACCAATAACCTCTGTTAAGTTACTATGTTATGAAAGGCAATATTACTTACAATATTTGATCAAAACCATTTTCAACCCTGTTCTTTGAGGCTCCCCAACACTAAACATTTTCAAACTCTTCCTAATCAAGCACACCTGATTCAACTCAGCAAAAACTGCAAGACTTGAAATGGATGGGTCAGATAAGGCAGACGTCCAAAATGTATACTGTTAGGAAACACTGACCTAAAACAATATTAGATATTAGCCTAATTAGATATTTGGCTGTTGTTAAACTAATTAACTAATAACCCACATCAGCTCAAAACAAAAGTGATTTCAAATGTGTAGCAGATTCTTACATTTTGATGAAGGATTAAATCAACATTTTCTCTTTCACAATCATTTACAATATGACTAAGAACAAAGTAAATATTGTTTTCATGTTGACTAAGTTGTCAGAATTCTACAGAAAGTAATGAATAAAATACTATCAATCCACAAATATGTGTGTGTATATTTTAAATGTTTAAATATGTTTGAGGAAGAGAAATTATAGGTAAGAGTTTATACTACAATGAAACCCAAAAACTCTCAGGAAGGTGTTTGCATATTGAAGACTCAAAATGACTGCATTCTGAATGGATGAGTACACATGAAGTCCTATTAAAAGGCTTATGGGATACATTGGTAAAATGCAGGGTCGGCTTTTGGATATTTTAGTGTTTCAATAATAGTTTGGGATAGAGGATTGATATTGTATTATTAGTGCACATGCTGGGTTTAATGGTGCTCAGACACTCAATGATGTGTCTCCAGTTCCACCACAGTCCAGTCGCCCTGTGGGGAACTGGCCTGGCTGCTGGAGGAGTAACTACTGACAGAGGCCACTGTTGCGGTGGAGCAGTCGAAGTGGGACATGATGTGTGGCCACAGGCTGCTCTCTAGGGGGCTGAGGATGCCCCCTCCCTGCCCAGGTAGGTACAGGAGCGGAGGACAGCCATCCTCCCCGGCCAGAAGCAGAGCCTGGTTAATCAGCTGCTGGACCATGTCCAGTTTTGTGTTCCAGTCTAGCTCCTGCGGAGGCGGTCGGCGAAGGTTTCCATTGGCCATTCTAAGCGGTAGGTCTGTCGGGATTGAATGGCCTATCTGGTTGGGGGAACCTTGGTTGACGATGGATTGGTTCTCTGCATCCTCCTCTTCTTCCTCGCTGGTCTCCATGGCCTCATAGATGGTGCAGAGTCCAGATGAGGGTGACAGGAGACATGGTTGCCCTTTCACCTGTGACTGCTGTTTGAGTCTCTGTTGCTGCTCCATCTCAAGCTGCCGTTGTAGGAGCTGTCGGCGGAGTCGGTGTTCCTGCTTCTGCTGTTGCAGCTGCAACTGAAGCAGCTCTCGACGTTGCCTCTCCAGTGCCCTTTGCTGCTCCTTCCGCTGCCTTTCTTCCTCCAGACACAGCCGTTGCAGCCGTTCCTGTTCCTGGCGTTGCCGAATGTGCCGCAACTGCAGCTGGTGTTGCTCTAGCCGTCGCAGCTGCACATTAGGCATCAATGGAGGCAGCGGGACCCTCGGAGGAGCATCAACATGTTGAACATTGATACGAGGCAGTGGCTGCTGTAGCTGCCTGTGGGTGTTCGGCAGGGGGGCAAGGTAGTTATTGTCATTCAGCTCTTGAGTTAGCCTTGGATAGTTACCATTCTCTTGTTGGCTCAGTGAAAGCTGGTGCTCACCAGTCTGTATAGTGTTCCCGGCTTTCCCTGTGGACAGTCAAGATCACTTGCAATATGTGTTTACTGACAGAGGCATTCGTTATGGAGAAGGGTGTAACCGAACAGGAACAGAGGAAAAGCACAGACAGAAAGAGGAACATGCAGACAATAAAAGAAAACATAAACCAAAGAACAAATTAGACAAAACTCTATGAATTCAGAAATCGGGTTTTCCCACACATCTTTCCTGTAAAAACACGTCAGGGTATTTTTCAAAACTAGCAAACCGTTGTGTAAGGAATATTCTGGGTTTAATAGATGTTAAGCTCCATCTACTGCATCTGTGGTGTGCTGTTGATTACGAAAAAAAATCTACTGGTATTTAAAACAAAAAAGTATATTGGACAAGCAAGAGAAGCTGTGGACAGAGCTTGTATTTAACTTAGAATTTTCCTTTCAAGTAATATTCAGTCTACAATGTTAAAACTGAAAATATCACCAGTGAGATTCACCAGAATAGTTCAGCACTTTTGACTGAAAATATTTTAACTGTGTAAAACAAAATCAGCAAATCTTTCAGAGTTTATGTGTTGTTCGAGGCCCCACAGGTATGTCATCCATGTTATATTTGAACCAATCCAAGAATGTGAGTGGGTTGGCGAGGGCCTGATTCATTGGAGCAGTAACTGGGCTAAAAATAAAAGCATGTAACTGACACTTTTTTTACTGCACAAATACATGAAATACATTTATAGACCTGGATAGTGTTTAAATAAAAAATTTAATTTGATAATATATATATATAAAGCCAAATATATTAATAGAATAAATAAAACAATCCAAACGTTATGGGAATGAAATAACGCTTGATTTCCATTAATAAATGTTTTTAAAGGGTAAATGATACATAAATACATACATCCAAAAAAGTATTAATGCAATTTATAATTTAATTCAAATAAGGGATTTGTTAGAATTTGAAGAGAACAATAAATGATTTTTCTTAATGTACCTCATCTGCCTCATATGATTTTACATAAATTAGAGTTCAGACAAATGACCTGAAAGAGATAGGTTTCAAAGCAGAGACAAAGAGATAAACTGATTGACATTCTTTATATCAAGGATAAGTTGTACTTCGGCTAACCTCCACCTCCAGATATTTTTTATGTAAAATTACTATTTTTGATGGCTGGTGGGTGAAAAAAAGGAAGGAACTGAAAAGGAGATGAGATTCCATACTGAGAAGAGGAAAATCAAGATTCCCTGAAACACCCGCATAAAACCAAATTAACAATCAGGGAGGATTTGGAATTCCTGTGTTGCGTTTGTTTATGCTTTAATGTACACTGTAAAAAATAACCGTGAATTTAATGGTAAAAGACTGTAAAAATACTACAGTAAAATCCTGTTAAATGGTTAACGGTAAATTTCCCTACTATATACAGTGAAAAACTGTATTGGACATTACATGTATTGGACATTAATTTTACGGTAGTATACCATTTTTGGAAGTGAAAAAGGCCGTATAATTTACAGTGAATAACCGTAAATTGACATTCTCAGAATTCCCTGCGTTACATTTCAAGTTTGATGTTTTTTTGTTGAAATAACTATTTCTTATTAGTTTTTTCTTATCAGTTTTGTATATTAGAGTTGTGTGTTACAGTTAATGTTATTAAATTAATGTTTATTGCATGATTTCAGTTTCATGTGTGTTACCATGATGGTGTTTAGTGTTTGTGTGAATGACGCTGTGCACCTTCTATATTTGTTATTATTTAAAAGCTGCTTGTGTTGGGATTTGGTTCATCATGTGACTTTCTCATCACCACCTGCATTTGGTGGTTATCAGTGTATTACAAAGGTGCAAAACAGATTTCAGTACTTCAATAGGTTGGTATATTAACATTATATCAGTAAATGAAATTACGGTATTTAATTGAAAATTTAAGTTAAAACTGTAAAATCTAAAACGTTGCTACCGTATTTTTTACGGTAAAATTCCGGTAACCACAGCTGCCGGTTTTTTACCGTAAATTTTACGGATTTGTTTTTCAGATTTTCTTTTTTAATAAATCTGCATAAATGTCAACAATTCTGTGTTTTTCTGTCAATATGGGGTGCTGTGTGTACATTAATGAGGAAAAAAAATTAACTTAAATGATTTTAGCAAATGGCTGCAATATAACAAAGAGTGAAAAATTTAAGGGGGTCTGAATACTTTCCGTACCCACTGTATATTGGGGAAAACAGGCATTTCTTGAAACCCATTAACCAATTCCTTAAGATACCATGAAAACTTGTTGTGCTGGGCTTTCAGAGTGGGGTCCTGTTTTTCAGTTTAGGGGGGATGACATGCTTTAGTAGAGGGGGATCATAGCCCATGAGCACTGGCTGTCATTTAATCAAAAATACATCTTGGAATAAACACCATTTCAGCAGATATCCATTTCCTGTTCAAAATCAAATACCATAGGAACACTCAGATGAAAATAGACCATCATGCCACTCAAAATAACAAAACAAACAGGAACAGACAGCCTTGCAATTATGTTTAATGGAATTTTGGGGAAAACCTTTTAGTTATTGTGAATCATTAATGTCCAAACATCCCTGGATTATGTCTGGATTCATAGCAAGATTATAACAATTTCTTAATTAGTTGCACATGCACTTCCAATTCTTGTAGAAATGTCCCGGTACTCACAGTAAACTGACCTGCGAGCATCATTTTAAGATTTACAAATGCAGGAAAACACATCAATTTCCATAAACAGAAGTTTTCCACGTTAATCTGAGCCCAGTACTTTAAAACACTTAAGTTACGTGCCAATGCGAATCTATGTTATCCTTCACAAAGATGTGCAGCAGTAGCTCAAAACTAATAAAAGACAACCAAAAATGAAGTATGACCTGCAATCTAACACTCATTCACCTCCCTATGTCAAACACTGTGAGCGTGAAAAGCTTCTGAAGAATATCTAACCTGTATTTAATGCTAAAACAATTAGTGCTGGAGCACATTTTAAAAGAGAAAGCTGAAATAAGTTTCAAAAGACAGTAAAGCTACTTTTACAGTGCAGGAAAACTGATGTGTGTACAAACATTAAGGTAAGACAGGGATCTTAACAAATCAAATAAAAACAAGAAGAAAAAAAAACAAGGTATAAAAAATTTACATTTGATTGGTAAAAACAGTAGGATAAATACAAAGGTAGTTGGAGTCCACCAAGTGTGTTTATTTTTTTTTGCATTTTTGTCCTTTCATTAAAGGACATCAACTTAACTTAGTCTAACATTGCAGGTTCAGGGGTGCCATGAAATGCAGTGTTATTTAAAAAGTACATTCTAATAGAAAATGAGAATAGCTACTGTACATACAGAAGTTTAAGCCATACAATCATAACCATCACCGTGGTAATAGAAGAACAGAGAGCAGCTCAGACAAAGCTATAATCCCTCACCTGATGGCTCCCCTATTCTTTCTATCACATATTTCTATTCATTTCAACCCCACATTTGGAAGAAATGAAGGACACAGGGTAGGAGCGTGGGGTAGACCAGGTGCATTCCAAAAGAGGGACTTTATACGTTACCTGCCAGAAAGTTATCAGTCTTATCACATATAGCAGAGTAGTACGGTGGCTGGCCATCAGAATCGTCCCCATGTTGGGGTGAGAGGTGCATGGGGGACTCAGGATCCATTTCCTCCATAGCGCCTGGGTCTGTCTTACTGCACAGCATGTAGTGCTCGTCAAATCCAGCATCCCTCTCTGTGGGCTCGCTGATTGGCAGCAAATCCACTGGACAGCCCAACAAGTCATCACTGTAGGCGGTAGCTGCTGGCAGGGTGAGCTCCTTGATGAAAGAGGGATCCTTAGCCTCTTCCGGAAGCTGCTCTTCATTTTCCAGGCTAAAGATGCCTGGACTCTTTCCACAGCTCTCAGCCATAGAGTGGGCATTGGAGATGGACGCAGAACAGTCAAAACCATAGGAGGCCACAGAGTTGGCTGACTGAGGCGTATCACCATCTTCCTCTCCAATGCGTTCAGGAGCCTCCTCATCTTCCTCCAGGGCAGCGAGGTTGTGAGGATCTGTGGCGTTGTCATCAACCGCAACATCAGGATCATTGATTTGCATCTCACCCTCTGTATCACTGGCCTCATCACCAGAGGTTGATGGTGATGATGGTACAGAGGCTGGTGCTGTTGCGGCATCACCCAGTACTTCATCGGCCGGCAGCGTTTCTGCCTCTTCCTCCTCCCCATCACCTCGCTCAAGGTGAATACCTAGGTCCTGCTCTATGTCTGTTTGCATGGCAGGGACTGGTGTCTGCTGCTTGTCTGATCGGGATTCTACACCTGAGCTGCTGTCATAATCTTGAAGCTCTTCAGGTGTGCTAGTCTCACTGCTGCTATGGGCAGCCAGGGCTGTTCCACTGAGGGTGCTGGACTGGGACATTCCAATGGCAGGAGGAGCCAAGATACCTGACTCCACTGGGACTGAGCTCCCGGTCTCCTCTTGGAGGTCAGGCTGAGGTTCTGAGGCCTGAATCAGGGGTGGACTCATATCCAGAAAAGCCTCAGCTGGGGATTTGGGGGGTGTATCTTGTTCAGCTGAGAATGTGGTGAGTGTGTCTGGATCCTGAACTCTTGAAGCTGACAGGTTTGATTTAGACAGGACGGAAGAAGGCTGGGCCCAGGAATCAGAGAATGGATTGGAATTACTCCATGCTGCTGTAAAAGGCATAGATGTTGCTGGAGCAGTGTGACCCATGCTGTTGAGATCTAGTTGACTCTCCTCTCTGTAATCATCGTCATCTTCTTCTTTGTTACCATCATTTCTACTAACCCCAAGTGCACTCTCATCCATGCCCCTGCGGACCATCTCTACATCTTCGTCTTCTTCCTCCATGTCTTTCTGTTGTTTGTGATGTTCATCATCATGCTCTAATATTAGATCCATGTCTTCCTTCAGATGCTCTTCTTCTTCATCCTCTTCCTCATCTTCACTTCCAAATGACTGGATTCCAGGAGGCCCTGTGAATGGCTGTTCCCTGTCTGCCTCGGTCATGATGAAGTCACCTGTCTCTTTCGCACTGCAGCTGTCTTCAGCATTAAAAGGAGATGTCACTTCTGAGTCATGTTTGTTACTGCTGTACATGTCATCTGATTGCATCATACCCCAATCAGAGCTGGCAAAATCTGCCATCCCCTTTTTAAGGTCAACTTCTTTCTCTGTTTTGGGCACTGATTCCTTTATGCCAATCTCTTTTACCTCTTCTTCCTCCTCCTCCTCCTCCTCATCTTCCTCCTCCTCCTCCTCATCATTGTCTTCATTAATCTCTTCTTCTGCTTTCTCCACCGTCTCTTCTCGTTCTTGCAAGGGGGAGGCAGGAGCTACATTTTTTATGTGATCCCCACCAGCGGAGCCCATCAGATCAAAGTCTTCGATCACATTCTCAACTGCAGAGGGCATCTGTATGTCATCCTGATCTTTTTCATCATCCTGCTCACTTTCTTCATCGTGCTGTCTTTCCTCATCCTGCTCCTCATTCTCTGTGGTCACAGAACTGGGGTACAGTGAAGAGCTCTGTGCCCATGGTTCAGCTGGACCCTGCAAGCCCAGGAAGGGAGCTGAGCTTGGGAGTTCAACTGGCATGGATGGTGGGGCGGTGGGAGAGGATGGTGGGGACAGTACTATGGTTCCCAGGGGAGACACAGCAGGCACTGGCTCCTCCAGACTGACCAAGTCTACTTCAGCAGCCAGCTGAGACATGGCATTGTCATATTTATAAGTGTCCATGCTCTGGGGGACGTCCTGGGGATAGACAAGCTCCACCTCTTCAGAAGCAGGAGAAATAACTGGTGTAACGGTGTCTTCAGGATCCTCGTCAAAGGCTGGAGAAATGACTGGTGAAGTGTTTTCTACAGGTGCCTCATAAGAGGTAGGGGGATTGACAGATGCAGATGTTTCTTCAGGTATTTCATCAGAGGCAGGAGGAATGACAGGTGAAATGGATTCTTCAGGTGCCTCGTAAGAGGCAGGGGGAATGACAGCTGTAGTTACATCTTCAGGTGTTTCTTCAAAAGCAGCAGAAATTACAGGTGAAACAGTTTCTTCTCGTGCCTCATAAGAGGTAGGAGGAATGACAGATGTAGTTACGTCTTCAGGTGTTTCTTCAGAAGGAATAACAGGTGAAACAGTTTCTTCTCGTGCCTCATAAGAGGTAGGAGGAATGACAGATGTAGTTATTTCTCCAGGTGTTTCTTCAGAAGGAATGACAGGTGAAACAGTTTCTTCTCGTGCCTCATAAGAGGTAGGAGGAATGACAGGTGTAGTTACTACTTCGGGTGTTTCTTCTGAAGAAATTACAGGTGAAACAGTTTCCTCTTGTACCTTATCAGAGGTCGGGGGAATGACAGACATAGTTGTGTCTTCAGGTGTTTCTTCAGGTCTTAAAGGTGTAACAGAGTCTTCAGGTGTTTCCTCAGCAACATGAGGAATGACAGGTGTAACTTTGTCTTCAGGTGCTTCCATAGTGGTAGGGGCAGTGACATGTGTGGCCATTTCTTTAGAATCCTCTTTAGAGTCCTCAGAGGAAGCAGGAATTAGAGTTGTAAATGAGTCTTCTAATTCCATGTCAGAGGCAGCAGGATTGACCTGGGTACACAAGTCCTCAGGTGCCTCTTCAGCGGCAGCAGGAACAAAAGCAGTAGCTGAGTCTTCAGGTGCTACCTCAGAGGTCACCACAGAAACAACAGCAGCAGCTGCAGTAGTGGCTGCAACCACAGCGGGTATTACATCCTTTTTCTCAGCCTTTGTGGCTGCTGCGTCTACAGGCTGGGAGGCTTTTGGGCCACCCTTCAATGGCATTGGAGTGCTACTGCCAACTGACTTCTTTGGGCTGCTTGTCTTGGTGCTGGGCTTGCTGCCTGTGGTCTTGGGGCTTGCGCTAGCCTCCTTGGAAGGAGTTGCTTTGCTCTCCTTGGGTTTACTAGTCTTAACGTCTGCTGCCTTGCTGGGGGTGGTGTTTTTTTTTGAGGCTGATTCTGCCTTGACAGTGGAGGCTGACTTAGGAGTGTTAGACTTGGTGGTCTTGGTTGGTGCTGGTCGGGTAAGCGGAGAAGAAGTGGGCTTCTTGGCTGCTGGAGTAGAAGGCTGCTTACTGACATCTAATGAAAAGAGAACATATAATTTCAACTCCGTATCACAGCTTCAAATAGAAATGAATCTAAGCATTATTAAGCAACTAAATACTGTAAATTGAATGTAAGTATTTTATGAAAATACAGCACTATAATGGAAGATTTAAATATTTACCATATGTAAAATACCAGTATTCTCATATTACAACAATATTACTGTTACAAGTGAACTACATGCATGCATTTATTGAATTCCATGAGGTGCCCACCTTTCTTGACAGGTGTTGTGGTCTTAGGAGTGGGAGTGCGGCCAGCAGATGGCGCTGTGGTTTTAGCAGGAGAAGGTTTAGCAGTAGTAGATGGTGTCTTGGGTGTCGCAGTAGTTGGCCTGGATGTGGCTGTCTTGCTGGCAGTTGTCGGTGTCCCAGGCTTAGGGGCAGCAGGGGATGAACGGGCAGCAGGAGCAGAGCCAGCAGACCTACACATAGCAGATGTGACAAGAAATAGATTAATCATTACAGAGGTGAGTCATTAGGGCATTTTTAGGTCTGGCTGCTCCTAGCTTGCACAACTCTGTGGTAGGAAACTTCCGTTGAGCTTTTAAGTCCATCTAGGACAAGGACCTCCTGCATTTAAAAAGCAGAAGAATGCCGGAAGAAAAGAACACACAGAAAGGTTCTGATATTAGTTAAAACTCCACTTCTGACATTTCAGTCATTGGTGATGGATCATATATCCCATTTAAAGCACTGACTCATAAGTCAAAGCTTTGATTAGTCACAGCACAGAAGGCCTGAGGGACAGACGGGTAGCTCAAGAGCACAACATGGGGTTATGTTAATACTAGCAAAAACATTCTTTTCAAGAAATCCTCTCCCCCCAGTTATCTACCCTTAATGCCTCTGTTCTATCCTGGGGTGCCTGACTCAGTGGTAATACACGTGATCTGCCCTGATGGGGTGTATTGTCTGTCTACTCTGGTCTAGTATGAGCTTAGCACACGGTAGTGTCTCAGTACATGTCCAGGTCAAGTCTGAGTAAGCTAACCTAGATCCTGTGGGCCTGGCAGGAGCTTCTGATTTCCTCTGTCTACGCTCCACTGCATGTGTCTCTCCTGTTCTAAATAAAGATCTGGAGAGCACGAGGCAGTGCGCGTATCAGTGCAGAAGACACAGTGAGCACCGTGTAAATCTTTCATTGTGTTGAGTAAAAATAACCATGCAAATCCCACTTGGGAAAATAGCATGGATATGGAACACATGCTCCATAAGTTACAAATTTCGTATAGGCAAAGTCCATGCAGGATGGGCGGGGATGAGATTCTACAAAATTGTGGTGTCCTACATATAGAGTATCAGGTGAGAGAGCAAGCAACCACATGAGAGAGTAAGAGAGAGAGAGAGATCCAGCAGTGAAGGTTCTGGAACAAAGAGGGCAAGTCTATAAACCTGACAAAGAAAACCACACATGAATTAATGCAGTAGTGTGTTGTAGCTCCTCGACCTAGTTTCACTTTACAAAAACACCTACTTAAGTACACAACCTGGATTAGAACATTAGTCTTTGAGCCAACTTGATAATTAGACCTGTGTACAGTTCATGAAGAAGCTGTCTGACTGAAGTCTTTGCAGTTCTTTTTTTCAACCACATCTTCAGAGCTAATATTAAAGGATGCATATATATATACAGTGCACAGCATAAATGAGTACACCCCCTCTTAATAAATATAAAATATGTATTTTATATAATATATATAATATAATTCATGGAAAAATGGCAAAATTTTAACACATTAAAACATATACTAAATAAAAACAACAAAATATATGACAATATTTTCTGTAAGATAAGTAAATTAGCCAATTTTGTTTAAATGAAGGATTGCAAAAATGAGTACACCTAGATTTAATTCAGAAAATGTATAATATTCTAGTACTTAGTATGTCCACCAGAACATAAAGTATACTGCTCCGACTCTTCTTGGCACTGAGTGTACAAGTTCATGACAAATTTTCACATCTGTCCTGTTTAACTCCTGGAGGACGACCTCCTTAAATGCTCTGATCTTTAATGAGGAGTGTTGCTCAGCTCGTCTCTACAGAATCCCCCACAGCAGCTCAAGAGTGTTAAGATTGAGTGAAATGCATGTCCACTGAAGGATTTTCACCTTGAATCCTGAATATATTCATTGTCATGCTGAAAAAATGCCCAATAAAGCAGAGAATGAGGGGAGGGTAGCATCTTCAGTTTCAGGTTTTTGTATTACATCACACAGTAGTGTGAATATTCATGCCAGCATTGGTAAAGCACAACTCCCTCACACCTTCAGCACTCATTCATCCCTTTATAAAAGCTTTACTACCACTGAATGCCACTGTGGGAACCAGGCACTTCTCTCTGTACTCCTCCTCTAGCAACACCAGAACATTTTGGTGTTCAAAAATGCAAAAATTCACTCATCACTAAATGAAAACTTAAAGTGAAGACCTGAGTATTTCAGGAGCCTTATCACAAGTCCATTGTTTTTGAATGTTGGTGCTACTTAGGCATTTTCACACTTAAAACACTAATTTGGTATTCCTCTTGTACAATTGTCCTCTTTTATGCTAAGAAATAAGTCTCCTGGAAGTTCTCTCCCAAGTGTTTCCACTGCTGCCAGCATTAAGTCCAAGTATGATTCAGTGGGCTATATAACACTTTTAATTGTCAGGAAATTACTTGTCTTTAAAAGTTTTGGTTCAATATACAGGTGCATCTCAATGAATTAGAATGTCGTGGAAAAGTTCATTTATTTCAGTAATTCAACTCAAATTGTGAAACTCATGTATTAAATAAATTCAATGCACACAGACTGAAGTAGTTTAAGTCTTTGGTTCTTTTAATTGTGATGATTTTGTCTCACATTTAACAAAAACCCACCAATTCACTATCTCAACAAATTAGAATACTTCATAAGACCAATAAAACATTTTTTTTAGTGAATTGTTGGCCTTCTGGAAAC